CAGGACTAAAAAAGCCTTGCAAGTCATGTCCAGGAGGAAATAGAGAAGTGGTAGTTTCATTTCACAGGTATGCCCTTTTCAAATTCTTATAATCTATAGTGGTGGAGTGGGAAGGGCGTTGGAAGACTTTGTTCATCCTTCTAAGCTCTCACTAATAGCACCCTCTAGTGTCTCCAGTTGAGCTATGCATTTTGTCATCAGCTAGGTACAGCATTTCTGCAGTCAAACTACTGAAAACATAGAGCTCCATAACTACCAGGCTTTCTCCGTTTCTTTATCTTTAGCTTCTGTTGAAATTCATTTGCCCTCGGTGTACCTGCACCAGTTTCAGCCTTATTTTCATTTGCGACTTGAATGCCTCAACGCTAGAAATATCTACCAATTAAGTATAAAAGTGCCTGCACAAATTATGATAGTAAAAATGCTCAGAATTGAGAAATTGCTTTTAACTCCTCAAAGCACTAGCATAAACATTATCATTTTGTGTGTCACAAAATCCCCCCCCCATCCCCGCCACCACCACACATGTATGTTTGTCGTCCTTTTAAGAGAGGGAAGTAGAATGATTTCGCTTGAGATAAAGAAAACTAATTCTTAACTAAAGGTTTATCTTTAAGTAGTCCCTAACATGTTAAAGGTTTTTTTTTTTTTTTTAATTTTGCTTAACATCTGTAATTCCTAAGTCTTGGAGAGTGAAAACTTTTTAGCTTAATGTCAGGCACTGTCCTAAGCATTTTAGGTGCATTACCTTATTTAAATATCACTGCAATAATTGAGTTGAATAAACATTATCCCTATTTTTACATGAAAAAATTGAAGCTTGTTAGGATAACTCTGTGCAAAAAAAGTATAACGAAAGCCACAAATATAATTTTAAGTTTTCTACCAGCCACATGAAAAATACTGAAAATAAACAAGTGAAATTATTTTTAATAATATGTTTAGCTAACCAATTAGTCAAAATATTATCATTTCATCATGCAATTTATATAGAAATATTATAATATGATAATATTTTACATACGTGTGTGTGTGTGCATGTGCTAAGTATTCAAAATAGGGTGTGCATTTTGCACTCACAGCACATCTCAATTTGGATTAGCCACATTTCAAGTGCTCAATAGCCACATGCGGCTAGTGGCTATCTTATTATACTGTAAAGGTCTAGAGATTAATTTGCCCACAGACAGACAGGTAGAAAATGCCAGAGCCAGCACTCCAAATTTGGCCAAAACCAAAGTCCTTTTCTGAACCACTGGGCATTATTGCCTTCTACTAATTGCAATTATTGTTGATGGTTAATATTAAATGTGAAAAATATCACAGAGAATGTAATTTATCCAGTCTTACAGTTTTGTGCGCACACATCCACCTATTTTCTCAATAACAGCGATGATTTATTGATTGTAACATTTATGTGCAATTTATGGTGCAAGTTGTCCTGAACAACACAAAGATGAATGGAATTTGATGCAAAATAACTGTCACATGATACAAAGTACTCATTCTCATCCATCTGCATGACCCGTGCATTTTCTCTGCAGACAGTACATGGGAAGGCAAATCATAATCAGATGGCAGACTGCTTGATAAGAGGTGTTTCAATGCAAGGGCAATTGAAATCTCAGAATATTTGATTGGCATCATCAATCTCATGTCAAGGGTGGTTTTGCCAGTGAGATGAAAACGTACATGGATAAGAGTTACCAATGCTCATCTATGAGTATTATTTTACTAGGCCTCCATGGCTGATCAATCCCTCTTCAGATTAACACATTATCTCAGTTTTAATCAATTCTTATCGGCCTGAGAAACATCCTTACTCACTGAAGTATTTTAAATCTCTTTTCTGTCCATTCTGTAATTATATAATAGTTTTATAGTTTAGACTCAGAGATTAGACATATTTCCATGTTTATAGGGTAACATTGCCGTAATTTCCCTTTTCTGACCTTCGTAGAATTCTGGGTCAAGCTCCATATCTCCTCCAAAAAATAAATTCCTACAGTTCCTTTTTAACTTTTCAGGGCTTTCATTAATTATAAAATTTTGATGTAATGCAAATTCTGAAAATATGTAACCACACAATCTGAGGCCCATATGCTGAAGGTCAGCATAGTGGACTGGAAATGATGTGGACTTGAATTTCCCAACTCTATAGCTATATAATCTTGGGCATTTTACCTAGTCTGTTTCCTCATTTTTTTTTTAAAAAAATGAACCTAATAATACGTATCTCATAGAACGATTTTGAGGATTAATAGGACAATGTATATAATGCAGACGGTGCATAAAAGGTATTCAATCAAGGAGTTCTTCTCTCTGTAAGTAGGCAGAGTAGAGGCCTCATTAGTTGTTTTAGAGTTAGAGCACTGAGAGGAGAGCTTTTGCCAGGTGCCCTGTCTTTTGGTTATTCCATTGCTCATTGATGCCACCATCAGACAGAATGCAGGAAAAGAGAAAATGGAAACAAATTTCATTATTATCAGATGTAGAATTCTGTCAGTCTTACCAGGAAACTGAATTTCTCAGATGATTTCCCGGGTCACTTGGTTCAACTAGTAGTCTTCTTGGTGTGTAAGTCGTGTTTCCACTCTACAGAAATAATTTTCTATTGGACTATACACTTAAAACTAAATGGTGTGCTATATATTATAGATGAATCTAGATTAACTATAAAGCAACCACGTAGCTGAATTTAGGAGCTGTACACTCTGAATGGAAATCCAGAGTCTGTAACTCTTTAGCTCCATAGTCTTGTGCAAATTACCTGTCCTCTATGAACTTCAGTTTCAGGAATTGTAAAATGTGGATAATAATACTGACTTCATGAGTCTGTCATGATGATAACTTACAATACTTCATAACAGTCATTGAATAGTTCTCTCCCCCTGCCTTGGGTTTGGATGGAAATCTTAAGAAATAAATTAATTGCTGTCTAGTGAATGATTATTGTGGATGTTATGAAAGATTATTAGTGCTCTCAGAGTGCTTCTATGGCGTGGCTTTGCCATACTGTCCTGGATCAGTCAGTGATTTTATTTTCATTGAATTCCAGCCATCCCCTGTGACAGGGTCTCATCCAGCAGACTCCAGGAGTCGGAGCTGCAAGCATTTGACAGCTTCTGATTTCATCTCCAAGACATTTCCTAGCTCCCAAGAAGAGGACAATGCATGTGCCGGATACTATGAATAATGGAGGCAGAGTTACAGGAGGAGTAAAATGTAATAGTAAATACTTCCTTGTGTCCTCTTTCATGCAGATGGCACTGAACTGTGCTGCTAATGTCACTCTCAGTAGTGGCTTTAGGTGTAAAAAAAATACAACAGAAAAAAAGTGATGTGAGAAATATTTGAATAAAGGTTTCAACCTTTAAAAATATCAGGAATCGGAAAGAAGGCAGTTATGAAGATGGAGAGGGTCATACTAGGGAAAGAAGACAGAAACATTTGCCTTTCAATTAAAAGAAAAACTTGCCATGAAGAAAACTTGCCATTAGAGAAAATAAACTCACAATAATTGGCAAAATTTTTCCTTCTTGAAGTTCTATCCCTATGCAGATGCATTCCCCCTTCCATTCAGTAGACAAAAATAAAAATGAATACTGTGCTCTTGGCGCCCGAAAACATTATCTACTTTTTCTCCTTTTATTTCAGGAAAGAGAGCCTCCTCCTTCCAAAAACAAAGCAGAGCACTAAAAAGATAGGATTTTCTATTGGTTCAGCACATAAAATGGATTTTTCTTCTAAAATCCTACACCTTTCTGGGGAAGAATTTAGAGAATTCACCTGGTTCATTCTCTGGCTTCTGGATAAATTTGAGTATTTGCTCCTTGGAGCAAGAATCAGAGTAGACCAGCCGGGAAGGTTTGGGTGGTTGTTGCCATTTGCTTTTAATCTCATGACAGGGACAGGGGAATTAGCCCTGTTTCTAGACACCCAAGACCCATCCGAGCTATAAACCAACCACGTTGCCCTTGGTCGCTTTAGTGGTCTTGGGAGACCTGGCACCCGGATGCCCGCTCGGGCGTCACCGACTAGGCAGCCAGAGCGCGCTGGCAAGCACCAGTCTTGCGGCTCCGGGCTGGGTTCCTTCCTCTCTTGCATCCTTTCCTACCTCGGACACGCGCTATCCGCTCCCGCGATGCTGCCCTGGCCCTGGCCCTGGCCCTGGCCCTAACTAAAGCAGTCCGAAGCCACCGACCTGACCTGCTTATACTCACTGGTACTTGCTCTCTGGGATAGCCAAATGCTAGATCTCCCCCTCAACCCCCTCTCCGCCGCCTCCAAACGATCAATCTGAAAAACAAGCGAGGTACCAGACCCGGCTCACAGTTGAGTGTAATATATGCAGACACAGTCTCTCTGCTCCAATTGCGGCTCTGCCGGACTCCTGCCCCTACTTCCACTAGTCTGCCTTAAGTATCCTTTGTATGAGAAAATGGTGCTGCTGGAAGCTTGTTCTCTAGCTGGAGACAAGGCGGTCAGCGGGATCACGAGAAAAGCATACATAACAAGAAAAATAAAACTTCTGTAAGGTAATGTGAATGAGTTAAACTTAAAGGGAAGCCGAAGAGAGCAGCAAGCAGAGGACAGAGCGAGCAATGCATGCCCTCGTTTTCGCTCTGCAAAGCTGACAGCCCGAAAGCGGCGCGTTTTCCCCAGTAGCGGGTCCCGCACTCGAGTGTGCCGCCAGCCCACATTCTGCCGCCTTCTCGGGGCAGCGAACAGTAACTTCCTAAGCTTACCTCCATCTCGCCCCCGCCCTTCTCCCCCGGTTCCCCGTCAGCCGGGAGGGGCCGTCCCCGGAGCGGTGGGGGATGTGGGGTGCAGGGAGTGGGGACCAGAGGGGGGTACCCAGCAGTTGGTGCTGCACCATCCCCTCCCAGCAGGCGGCCCGGGCACTGGTTCACTTCCCTCCCCCCGCCCTCCACTCGCTCACCCCCCTTCCTTCCCCCTTCTCCCCCTCTATCAAGTCCCTCCCCCTCGCCATTGAAAAGGGCTGGCTCGGCACTGGCTCCTTGCAGTCGGCGAACTGTCAGGGCGGGAGGAGCCGTGAGCCCGAGCTGCACGCAGCGGCCCGCGCGGCAAAGCAGAAAGCAAGCTGAACAGAGTGCGCAGAGTGGCAGTGACAGCGGCGACACAGGCAGCCCAGGCAGCCCAACCAACCGGGGCGGCCCGAACAGCTTCAGAGGCAGCCTCCACTACACCAGCTGCTCCGCGGACTGCGAGCTGTGGCGGAAGAGCCCGCTACAGCAATCGCAGTCTCCGTGGAGCTAGCAGAAGCCTTTTCTCTTTTTCACTTACCACCTCATTCTACTCTAGAGGCTTCGATCACTGGTAAGTATTGGGTCTGGGTGCCAGAACAGAGCGCGGCGTGTGAGGTGTGCGTCCCGCACTTAGTGCGCGGAAGCTTCCTGCCGCCTGCGCCTGGGGTCTTGACTATGACCACAGAGTGGTTTTAGAGACGCTTCTGATTTCCTCCCTTCCTTCTTCCCCCATCTCTTCCTTAGAAATAGGAGAAAGAGCAAACCCCAGAGGTGAGCGCAGACAGAGTATCTTTTTGGCACTGCCACCGCTCGGCTTGGCTTGGTTACTTTTGCGAAAACTCTCACTTCTGTCAAAAAAGTGTCCGCGCGTGAATTTCTCCTACATTGGCAGTGCAAAAAGGTCTTTCACTTTAATGGATACAGTTAGCTTCGAGGCTGAGAAAGCTCTAAGATCCGAGCAGGTGCTGAGAAAAGATCACACCTTGGACTCTCGGGCTAGCGCAGCAGAGCGGTCCGAGCTAAGGGGCAATGCCCCGAGCCCAGAAAGAGCCCGCTTCGGACCTTGCGCGGCCCGACCCCGCTGCGCTCTATCTCTGGGGGCCGGAGGTTTGGATCCCTGCCAGGCTGGCTCTAACCCTTGGGGACACGACCCTTGGCGCAGAGCGAACGAGAGCGCCGAGAGCGCCGCGCGCCACAGTGAGCGCAGGGTCCCCCGGGCCATTCCGCCTGGTCCTTGCCTGCCCCCCCTTCCTTCCCGCCCTACTCGTGGGGCTGTGCTCAGCCAGCACCTGCTGGATGTGGAGATGGTAGGTGTGGAAAATTCTGCCTAGGTTTAAAAAAGGAACTTCTTATAATCGCGTAGCCGAAAAGGGGCATCATTTTCTCATTTAAAAAGGAATCACTTTTTCTAAGAGTGTAGCTGAATAAAAAGGGTTCTACTTTCTCTAAAGAAATGACTTTTCATCCCTTAGCCAAAAACGCCTACCTAGCTCATAAATTGTATGACGTTTACTAAGAACCGAAAAACAGTTTATCACTCCACAAAGGAATTAGTTTTTTTTTTTTAAGCGCGTAGCCATAAACCGGCCCCTTTTCGCGAAAATGAATGCTTCTTAATAGGAGAGCGTCATCAGAAAAGGTGACTTTTTAAAAGCGCGTAGCCGCCAGTGGGTCCTTTTCTTTAGGGACTTTAGAGGAGCGGAGCGGCAGTCTGCCCTCGGTTGGAGACAGGACTTGCATATGAGCGCTTAGCCGAAAATTGACTTCATTCCCTCTCCAATAAAAGGAGGGGGGGGGTCACTTTTCAAGAGTGTACAGTGAGAACCACTACCTTGCCTCCCCCAAGGAAAGACTTTCAGAGCTCAACTGAAAATGACCTCCTCGATTCCAGAATGAATGATTCCGCGCTTCGCTGCTTTGGCAGCCTTTGCGGTTTAGGGTGCGGGGCACGGGTGTGCGTGTGTGGAGTGCGTGCGCGCGCGCCTGCGGGCGGGCCCTGGCATCTCCCAGCGGAGTGCCCTTCCAAAATGTTCGCTTGGGAGTGGGAATCGAAACTTGCGCCACTGCGACACACACCCACAAAGCAAAGACCGGAGAGAAAAGGGGCTAAGACAAAAGAATAAATAAAATTAAATAGCAAGAACAAAACAAAAGCAAGTGCTTGTGTGGAAACATCCCGAGATGGGATTTAAACCTACCATGGGAGCTGTTTCTGTATGAAGAAAAGTGCGTGAAGAAAACTGTTTAAAAATTGGCATAGGTGGGGTAAGGGGGCAGATAATATTGGGAGGAGGCGATGGTGTTAGAGGAGCCGCTTGTGCTCTGATCGCTGCAACAAGGAAACAACCTGAGGAGCGTGCGGAGGAGAATTCTGAACCCTGAGCACAACACCAGAGAAGGTAGCGGCGCTTTATGACTAAAGCGACTCTCGCCCCTCCCTATAAAAGGTTAAAACAGGTGTGACTCAAAAGAAAAAAAAAGGGGGTGCTTGCAGGCACCTTCTGAACTTGGTAAAGACTGAATGGAATTCCACTCTCAATCTTGTTTGAAACAAACTCGCACAATCACGGTGGGAAATCTTAGCCTCAGGGTTGTCCCTTCGTGTGTGTGTGTGTTCGGGGTAGGGGGACGCTTGAAAGCAAGTCGAAGTAATAGTATTCGTACGTTTCCCTCTTTCTTGTCTTTGTCTGGTTCATCGGAGGAAGCGCGGAGCGTGTGCAGGCGGTTTTGACAAATGAACCAAGAAATGGACGAGCTAAGGTCTAAAGATACCTTTCTCCCTCTGCTAAATTAAGAATTGCCGCGCGCAGCTCACGCGAGCTGAGTCCAGCCGCCCCTGCCACCGCGCTGCGCCTGCCAAGCGGCGGGCGAGGGAGCGCCTCCGGGAGCGGGGCCCCAGGTCCCTGTTCTCCAGGCGCCCATGCACCGGCCGCCCCTCCTTCTGGCAATGATGTCAGCCTTGGAGAGACTCGGCGGGCGCAGAGGAGGCCAAGCGGCTAGTCCCGGCCGGGAGCGCGAGCGGCCCTGCCCCGCGCGCTCCCTGTGCGCAGCCGCCCTCGCTTCCTTTCGGCCTGCTTCCCGCGCTCCCACTCGCCGCCCCTCCCGCCAGCGCCCGAGGAGGAGGAGGCCCCTGCAGGCAGGGCAGTGGCCGGTTTTGAGCCCGGGTCTCACAGCCAGGTGTAGGGTCTTCTCGCACTCTTTTCCTCCTTTTCCCTGCCCCCCGTTCTCTCCCCTTTTCAGCTCGCACCTTCACTATTGCTGTGAATTGACTTTTTAGCCGCATTTTAGAGGGCAAGTTCTTCAGATGAAAAAATAGTTACCAATGTTAAATTTCCGCTGTTTTCTCTCCTCCCTCGGTGATGAGGAAGGGGGATGTGAAGACAGGCATCTTTACAATCCCGTGACTGTCCTCCGCCGGCAACAGAGCAAGCTCGATAGAAGGCAAAGAGGGTGGTCTTCCCAAAGAAATGATGCGGTGGGGGCGGGGGGGACATCAAAGGCAACGGCGCAGCGTGGGGAGTCCCCTTCACTGAAGAAGGACCTGGAAATTGGGAGTTGCGGAGAGAAAGACTCTAGGAGCTGCTGCCGCAGGGGAGAGGCCACCGTGCTCTTTAATGTAAGGCTGCGCAGTCACTTCTAGAGAGCGGCGCGCCAAATTGGGAAGACTCAGGAATAGGATTTTACAAGACGGAAGCCCGCGGCGGCCTCCCCTCTGAGTTTGCTCCTCTCGTTTTAAGGAACAATCCCCTGCTTTCCCGAATTTGAGGCTATCTGTTTCCCCTGATTGCGGACAATTCCTCCTTTAGCGCTGCGAGAAGGACTGCAGCGCGCGCACTTGGAGAAGGTTGTGCAGGGCACGAGGGGGAGGGGTCGGAGGCAGGGCGTGCGGAGGCCGCTGGGCCCTGGCGCTGAGTTACCTGCCCGAGGAAATTAAATTCAGAGAGGATCGCGATCAACTGCCTACCTACTGTATTTTGGTTTGCAGGCACGTGGCAGAATTGGGGCAAAGGGAACAGGAGCAAAGAATTCTTCCGTGCTGTAAAATCTAGGGTTTTGTTTTCTTCCCTTTGATGGAAGACTTCCCTTACATGCTGTATCAGCAAAGGCATCACACTTAAAGTTGCTGTGGATTTGAAATACGGGAATGAGAGGAAACTCACACCAAGCATAAAAACACGTTTATTTTCTAGACTTCAGTCGTATGCTAAGGGTTGAAAGGAGCTTTTTTCTTTTTTTTTTAAATCTCCCGAATGCTATTCTAATAGACGCCCAAGTAGTGTTGGGTTTTGCCAGCTGGGAGCCCTGGCAGAAGAGATTGCAGGTTTCACATTATTTCTTATCTTGGTATTCAAAACTTTATGTTTTTTGCTAGATAGAAATTCTTGATAGAGAGCTTTCAGGCTGCTCGTGGTAGGAAGAAATCTGGCAAGGGATTTAGAAAGCAGAACATTCTCCTTTTCTCTATTCAAGCAGTCCACAACAGCCTTTAGCCAAGATTTATAAGGTTCTTGGGGAAGGGAGGAGAGGCACACTGACAAGGAGACTTTATATAAACCGCTGGCTTTAAGCTACAGTGACGAAATATGCATGGCTGCCACGTTTTCTATTAGTAGGAAAGGAAATTATTCAGGGCATGAAAATTTGAAATCTAATTTTCTCCAATAATCTTGCTTCACATATTTTAAAGGTGGTGTCATCTATTTATTCACTAAAGAATTCACAAACATTAATTAGTCACCTACTGTGCCAGACAATGTGCTAGGCTCCAGGAATACAAAAGAGAGTATGACAACGTGGCTTGGGCCTCTGTGAGCCGGGAGACTCTTACAAATTTATGATACAATGTGATAAATGTTCTAATTTAGTATAGTAGAGGGAGGAATTAATTTTTGCTAAGAGGTTGAGAAAAGATTCATAAAGAAGGTGTCTCTCTGGCTTTGAAAAATAGGCACTCCTAGCGGTGGCTAACCAGGAAGTAGACACAGGCTAAGTAAGGAAAGGTGTGGGGGCCTGATGTCCCACTATGGAGTTAAGAGGTATGTATTTTGTAGACATAGGCCACCTTTGAAGATTTTTCAAGCAAGTATGTTAAAAACAACAAAAAAACAGTGTAAGAAAATTGGGCAGTAGGCGGCACACAATAGAAAAATTTTTGTTGTTTCTCTTTAAATGGATATTTGAATAAACTAATGTGTTGGAATAGAGTGGAGGCAAATAAGTTAAGAAGATACTCTAACATCCAGAAAAAAGGACAAATGAATGAAGAAGGCCTAAAGTAAATCAGAACTAAGAAAGAAAGAAATGCTATTTTGGGGAAGAAAATTTTTCTTTAGTCGTAATCATCTACCCATTTATATCTTTATACTTGTCTCACCTTCCCCACCCAGCCTTCCAAATTCTCCTTCTTCCACCATCAGAGTAAACTCCTTTAGCCACTCGCAAGCACGCTCATTCCCACTACACTCCATTTTGCGCATACATCTCTCTGCATCATCTCTGTGCCCTACACTGTGTCTCCCACCTTTATCCACTTCAGCTCTCTCTCAACCAACAATCAGAGTCTCTTAATCT